TTGGTTGTCCGTTTCCCCCGCCACATTTAGACGTGCCGGTCCCAAGTCAGGAGCATGTAATTTAGTGGATATCGTTTGTTACTGCGTATCAAATTTGTGTTTATTGTTTTGTACTTTAATCAGGCCGTTAGTTTTCTCATTTTAATTGTTTTACGTTTTGTCATATCGGGCCTTTATTAGCTTGCTATGAAGTATGGGTTTTGCCCATTGTTGAAGGTCGTACGGTGACCTATAATTTCTAACATCTACGTAATTTGGTCTCTGGTGGATGGTTGTCTCATTGGCCTGTAGATATTTGAAGAATAAACTTAATTTTACTGAATCATTAGTTCTTGTTTTGCAAGATATTGTGAGTTGTTTTGGGGAAACGTATTTCATTGAAATAATTTTTCTACAAATTTCCTGCAACTGAACAGGCAATTTGTTGAATTTTAACTAAAATTTTAAGTCATTTAAGTAATGCATATCAAGGTTAGGCATTTTATTAATTTTACAAAATGCGTAAATTAAGAAAATGCCTGTAACATATATTGCAAGCAGATTTGCCCTTGAAATGAATGTACATGGGGTGCAAAGGATAACAATGATCATGCGTTTTAAAATCCTGTCACCCCTCCCTAGAACTATTATAGTCAGTAAAGTTAGATACATTAGACTCCGCCCCTCGATAAACCTTTTATACATAAAGGGAAAACAGTTCTTTTATCTCTCCATTGTTTAATTATTGTGGTACATTGACAAATATTTTACATTTAAATGACGTTGGCCAAGTTTATAATCGTTATTTTAATTTATTCCATATTGGAATTATTTAAGAAATTACGAAGTTTCCGTCTGTCATATGTCTATTATCTTTGACTTCATTTTAATGTTTAACCGACTGCCTAAATATTGTTAATTTTTACTTTAGACAGTGTATATATAACATTGCATTTACTATACAGATTTGATGCAGTCGCCATTACATATTTGTATATACTGACAAATATCAATGTTATAACAGAATTAGTTGTAAGTGCTATGCAGTATCTGTATACCACTACAACTTCGTTCGTAGATGAGTGCAATTAGGTACACTAAAGGGATTATGATAACGCAAACTGTGTTTTATTCCATATTTCTACTGGAAAATATTTGTTTTAACGAAAAAACGTTCAGATCTGTTTTGCTTTTCATTAATGTGTGTTATTAAAACAAAACAAAACCGCTTCTTGATGTTGTAAACAACATATTCAAAACCGGGTCCTTCTATTTTGGCATGACCAATTTCTTTCGTTCCATGCATAGAAATACAAATATTGAGGGGCGAAAGGTGACTAATCTTGCAATTTGGAAAAAATAAAATTGAGATGGAAATGGGGAATGTGTCAAAGAGACAACAACCCGACCATAGAGCAGACAACAGCCGAAGGCCACCAATGGGTCTTCAATGCAACGAGAAACTCCCGCACCCGGAGGCGTCCTTCAGCTTGCCCCTAAACAAATATGTATACTAGTTCAGTGATAATGGACGTCATACTAAACTCCAAATTATACACAAGAAACTAAAATTAAAAATGATACAAGACTAACAAAGGCCAGAGGCTCCTGACTTGGGACAGGCGCAAAAATGCGGCGGGGTTAAACATGTTTTTTGAGATCTCAACCCTCCCCCTATACCTCTAGTCAATGTAGAAAAAACAAACGTACAACAGTACGCACAGTAAAACTCAGTTTAAGAGGAGTCCGAGTCCGATGTCAGAATAGGAAACAAAAGAAAATAAACAAACATGTATATATCTTTCTTTCCGTACGTTTTTTTTCGTACAATGTGCACAATTTAATGAAAAATTAAACAAATTCGATGAAAAGTTCCATCTACTGATAATTTTGCCGCGTATTTGTTTTTATTTCTCCTTTAGTCTAGAACGGATGTAGAAAATATTACACCTCACAATCTAAACTAGTTATAATTGTATTTATACTCTACAATTTCTTATAAATAACAAATAGAGAAACATAAATCCAACATTTTCCATGTATGTAGGTGGTCCGTACTGGATACTAGATACTATATCTACAGTATCCAGACAATGTTGCCAGAGTTTTTTAAACACAGTGTCCTTGGATGAAGAAATAACCTTATCATGAACAACATGGTGGATGAGGTTTTCCTGCAAATGAATGTTCTGTGCTGGTGATATGGTCCTGAACGGTGCTGGGTGGGTCCTGATTCTGTGCTGGAGGATTTTTTTACATTGTATCAATGAACGGCAATAAAACAACCATTATGTTGCTTAATTTTTCACAAATACGTTATACGTACCTATTACAACGATTTTATTACAAAAGTAGCGCAAATTCGCAAAACAAAATTGTCCTCATAGTGTGCTGGTGATGAGAAAATATTTCCTAGTTTTGCGATCTTATTGTTTAATAAAAACTTAAGTGGCGAGTATTTAAGATTAATTATGCAGAAAATGTATGTAATTGATAGAAAGACACCTAGCATACATTTGGTGGATGAAATACTTTAGATATGAGATTAAAAAACGGCCTGATTTGTGTACAATACAATAAACATTTAACAAATATGATCGACAACACAACAGCCTATGTCGTGTTATCATTAATAATAGAAAAGCATCCTAAGTTTCTGATTATTAGAGAATAAAAAAAACTTGCATCCATGTCTTTTTGTCTCTGAGTACACACATCTTCTTTAAGCTCACCTGGCTTTTTGGGTCAGTGTAAGCTTTTCCCTTCACTTGTCGTCAGTTGTCCGTCGTCGTTGTTCGTTAATTTTTCAAAAATCTTCTTCTCTGAAGCTATTGTGCCTAATTCAACCAAACTTGGCCATATTTATCATTGGGGTATGTTATTTAAAAACTGTGTTCGATGGCCCCGCCTGTCAACCAGCATGGTCGACATGGCTAAACATAGAAAATATGAGTGAAATGCAAGTCTTGTCTCTTATCTTGAAAACCACTATAGATAGAGAAAATCTGACATGGAAAAAATGTTCAGATTAATGAGATCTACCTGCTGTTCATTTACATCAAATCTGTCAGTACCTGAAAACTATTAGTATCTGCATGAAATCCAAGAGGGGATGGTCCAAGAAAGATAGACTTCGGGTTTTTGGGGTTGAAATTCTTGATCTTTGACCTTGAATTCGAGGTCAAGGTTAGAGGTCACTAGGCAAGCTAGTTTTAGACCTTTGCTTTAACTTCATACTAGTACATGATAGAGCCATTTTGCACTAGTTTCAAGTAAAGTTACATAGACACCATACGTTTATTTTCGATTCAGTGTGAAGTTACCAATCACATGAACCGACGGTGACATTTTGTAGACAGGAAATAGCACATTATCTCCTTTATTTCAAGCAAAAGTATACAGAAAACGTATATTTTTCAAATCAGTGTAATTTAAGCTATCATGTGACACATGAACTTGAATTTTGAAGACGGAAGTAGCTAATTATCTCCATTATTTCAAAGGGAAATACATTATAGACCATATATTTTTCAAATCGGTGTAATATGAGCTGTCGTACGACACCGGAAGTGGCATTTTTTGGACCGTAAGGAGTCGAGTATCTCCCTTATATGAAAGGGAACTACATACAAACGATTTATTTTTGTAATCAGTGCAAAGTAAGCTATCCGTTATCACCGGAAGTGACTTTTTGAAACTGAAAGAAGCTGATCATTCCCTTTTCATCAAAGAAAAGAACTACACACTAAATATTTTTGGAATCTTTGCACTATAAGTTATTTTCTGACACCGTTTATTTTTAACTAAGGTTGGTTTTATTTTTGTTATTAAAAAGATTTTGCATATATATTTGTATAAAAGTTCATTTAAAATCTTTTAATATTTACTTTACCTAATTTCCCGAAGAAAAATTCGATTGATAGTATTTGGCCCTGTAGTTTCAGAGAAAGGTCAAGATTTTCACACCGGGCTTCGCGCTAGGTGAACTTAGAACGATGCCTGTTGATAAAAAAATATATTTTCAAGTACATTTAATACTTAAATAAAACTATTCTAATGAGATATGTTTCCATTTGATATAGAACTGAGGATATTGGCCTTTTGAGTAGTATGAAGTAACGATTATTTAAATGTGCTTATTTTACAATAGATGTCCAAAAGTAAAAAAAAGGAGCAAAAATACTATTGAATACAATTCGTTGCACAATTTCATTGATTCTGAAACGTTTGATTCAAATAAGACTAACGTCTTGTCACAAATTATCAGGGTAGTATCAGGACCCACCAGCACAGCATTAGGAAATGTCTAAACTGAGAAAATGCACAATTTGATAAATTGATACGGTTTTTCACAAAAAAGATCTGTCGTGTGGATTTGGGTATAAAAGCGGACTCCATGAATAATTTTGTTAATTTTTTCCGTCCTAGCTGTTTTTTAAAATGAGCACTTTTGTGTTACTCATACTGAAACAGCATAGAAGACCATTTTTTTAATTGCTTGCCTTTGAACGCATAATAAATAAAATATTAACATTTCAATTATTTCTTTTCAAGTTTTATTCGAGAAACGTCACACATCATCCTATTCATCTTCGTTAACATATTTTCAACGATCACTAGCACCGGTCAGGACTAAATCGTCAACACATTCTTTCGCAGGGAAACCTTTCCCACCGTGAGCAAGTCTTTTGATTGAGCAGACAAGAGACAGCTAGCTGTTTTTTAAGCTGTTCAGCGTTTCGATTAAAGTATATGTTGTATAAACAAATTTTAGAAAACTATTTAAAATCATTGTAATAGTTTAAATCGTCTGTGTACTGAAACTAAAAGACACAGTGACTTCTGTTGATAAGATCATGTATAATACATGCTTTACAAAATTCATTGTTAATTCACTAATGAATTCATTGAAAAACAAAGAACTTCCATGGTGCGTTACACGTTTGTTTTTGTTTTTTCTATTGATCTAGATAATAGCTAAAACGAATAATCTCATTGAATACAATAGCAACACTTTTTGTAACTGATATGTTGTACAATCTTGAGATATTTAATGCTATTTTAAAACATGGCCGGTGTTTTAAGGTATGCAGGTCCGCAGTCGACACCGAAACAGGCTCTATCAGATCAAACATTGCCGTTTTTAAAAGAAGATCAATTCACAGATACTGTTTTAGTGGTGGAAGGTAGAAAAATGTACATTAATCGGGCGCTCTTAGGTTACGCTTCACCATACTTTAAAAAAATGTTGGAAAATGCTCATAGATCGGTTTCTTCAGAGAAAAAGTCCAAAGCAGAGATTCGTATAAGTGAGAAGAATTTTCCTGACTTTATAGATATGCTGGCTTTTCTGCACCCAGGGGTATGTCGCGATTTGACAGGTAAGTTCTTATCGCCAAAAGAAACTTTCAATATTTCACCAGATTGACATTTTCATGGTAAAATAACCACACAACAACAAAGCAGTTATTCGGTTTATCGAGACGAATTATCGTGAATAAATTTGTATTACGGCGATGAAGTATTGCGATTGCCTCGTGAGTGATCGGGTATTAAAGAAAATGAAAGAAAGCTACGCTTCATATGTGTAGCTTGTTTTTCAAGATTTTATTGATGACTCTGCCAGCATACCATATATGCAATATTACAATGACAAACAGGACAAAGTGGGTATATATACCAAAAAATACAACTAATCTATATGTTCTTCTTTATATATCTATATATCTTATATATAAGTGCAACTGACCTATATAATTATGTTAACATAAAAAAAAACCAGACTATAGTTGAAATTGTCAGTACTGAATTTCACGCGACAAGCAATATAGTCTAAGGATTTAACTGTCATAAAAGTACTAAATTCTAAAGAACAGATACTGGTTAGTAACAGCTTTACGCTAAATATTTTGTGACTTTTTTTCTGAAAGATTGCAAGGGGACATTACCATACATCAACAAACCTTTAATTTTGTCTTCTCTAGGATAAGCAACATTATAACTAGGAATATATTTGATTCTTAATTTGGTGATTACTTCATATTTACATATAAAAATATAGTGAAACTCATTTCCAATATAACTTGTTTTAACGTAATGTAAAAAATCTCTTATTTCTTTGGAATATTATTCCATCTTCCAGTTTCAATGGGAAATGTTAATATGTTTGAACATCTTATCTTAGTAATAAACAATCGATTTCCTTTTTTGAAATACATTACTTTTCTAAACAAAAATCAGTTTTAAAAAGAGTACAAGTGTCCTCTCGAAGAATGCCATTTTGATCGCACATGATTTGCTTATTGAAAAATTTAACATATGTGCTTTTTAAAGCATGCTGACTATTCCATATAAAACTGAAACCTGTACTGTCAAAATTGATCCACTTTCAATTTCGTATTCCAGAATTGTGCAGCGTAAACAGTAATTGATACATTATACTAAATAGCCTTGTGTTATTCAATAATAATTTTTACCAAAAAATGAACAATCTTTATTTTAAATTGATTTCTAATGGGAACCTCTCAGTTTCGCCGTACACCATAAAATTTTGTGTACTCGCTATGCCCGCAAATAAATTGAAGATGAACTTTTTCCTATCAAATTTATGTTTTTGAAACCCCATATTTCGCATCCATACGGTAATATAATTGCTATTAACGAATCAAATAATTTGAATTGTAAATCGATAGTAATGCTTATATTTCGTATTTTGCAAACATCTTCAATTCCACTTTAAGATATATTGTCACTCAATAACCCACATTTAAATGAGAGCTTACATATCAAAATTCTTGTGTTTAAGTTTTTGTTCTACATTTACATCATTCTTGGAAATACAATACCGCGCTGAAGTACGTCCATTATTCATTTTTCATTATTCAAAATTCAATAATGAAAAATGAAATAGTTCATTATTCGTTATTCAACGTTTAGTAATGAATAATGGAGGTAGGTGTTTTTTCATTTTCTATTATATTGTATCATTCGCACAGTCATAGATTTCATAAAGTCAACATGGCGGCTCACTCCTTAGTTACGACATGTCAACTGTGGATTTGACAGTAAATAGTAGCCAACGAAAAAAAAAATGTTTGGGTTAAGAATTATAAGGATTGAACACATTTTTTCTACTGGTTATTTAAGAAATAATTCATGCAAGCCTTACATTTATTTGAAATTTGTAGTATTTATCTTACAGAGGGTAAAATAGAACAGTCATACACATGGCAATCTTACCTTCGCTTCAGTTTTTCGAATTACCGTATTTGTCCTATTAGAATCGAAATAATTCATGCAAGCCATAGATTTGTTATCATTTTTCACTTGGCCTGGACCATGTGAAAATTTATAACAAATCTATGGCTTGCGTAAATTATTTCTTAAATAGTTTATGTTTCAGTATTCAAGTTGAAAAGTGAATAATGAAATAGATCATTTATTATTTGACTGTGACACTATCCCGTATTTCTGAATTTGCCACTTTTTCGGCCAATTGACATATTTTCAAATTGATATAAGAAAAAAAAATCAATACACTCTTTGAATTTTTTATCTTTTATTTTTTTATTTAGTTTCGGAGGTTAAACTACTGGGTTTCCCCAACTATTCTTTACGGAAATTCCGTGTTTTAATGTTATGGAGGACATAAATACCAAAACATATATGAAAATCAAAATACTATGCATTGGATATTTGTATTTTTGAATCGACCTCTGCGATCCTTCATCCCCTGATTACAGATATAACTTGTCAATATGTGCCGCAATGCCGATTAGAGGGGTTACGGAGGACCTAAGTTCCAAAATAGGCGTGAAAATTGTGAAATAGCCAATTTTGAATAATGGAATGGACTGCTGCGACCCTTCATCCCCTAATTACAGAGAAACATTATATACCATTCGAAAGTTTATCGATAGAGGAACAAAAGGTAAATAATTAATATGTGCCACAATGCCGATTAGAGGGGTAATGGAGGACATAAATGCCAAAATGGGCGTGCAAATTTTGAAATAGCCAATTTTGAATAATGGAATGGACTGCTGCGACCTAATTACAGAGAAACCTTATACACCAGTCAAAACCTTATCGATAGAGGAACAAAAGGTATATAATCATTATGTGCCGCAATGCCGATTAGAGGTGTTATGGAGGACCTAAATGCCAAAATAGGCGTGAAAATTTTGAAATAGCTATTTTTTTACCTGTAAACTACAAAATTAATTCCTTATATCAAGCATCTGTATAAGTTTCATTCGATCAGTGTATGGATCTCTATGAAATTTCACCAAAAAGTTTCATACCGCAAAAGGAAGGTTGGGATTGATTTTGGGAGTTATGACCCAAACCGTTTAGGAAAGAGGAACTAAAAATGGGCTAAAAATCTTGGATTTTTGTGTTTCCGGACAAAAACTTGAGTACAAGTCTATGGATCTCTGTGAAATTGTACCACAAGGTTCCATACCACGAAAGGAAGGTTAGGATTGATTTTGGGGGTTATTGTCCTAATGTAATTTAGGGAAAAGGGGCTAAAAACAATACTTTTCTAATACTTTGTATAAACTGCTTATTTCTTGACCAATTTCAATAGGTTTAATTCAAAGTCTTGAATTGTTGGACTTCTTTAATATGTTGAATCTAACCGTGTTTTCAGATTTTGGATTTTGGGCCCCGTTTTCAAATTGGTCCACATTGAGGTCCAAAAGGTCCAAAATAAAACTTTGTATGACCTCATAAAAAATTGAATTCTTGGGGTTCTTTGATAAGCTGAATCTAACCGTGTAATTTAGATTTTTTATTTTCGGCCGTGTTTTCAAATTGGTCCACATTAAGGTTCAAAGGGTCCAAAATTAAACTTAGTTTGATTTTAACAAAAATTGTATTCAAGGTTTTCTTTTGATGTGCTGAATGTATACATGTATTCAAATTTTTGATTTTGGGCCCAGTTTTCAAGTTGGTCCAAATCGGGGTCCAAAATTAAACTTTGATTTCAACAAAAAATTGAATTTATGGGGTACTTTGATATGCTGAATCTAACTGTGTATACAGATTTTGGGCCCCGTTATCAAATTGGTCCACATTGAGGTCCAAAGGGTAAAAAACTAAACTTTCTTTGATTTCATAAAACATTGATTTCTTGGTGTTTTTTTGAAATGCTGAATCTAACCACGTATATATATTTTAGTTTTTGGGCCCCGTTATCACATTGGTCCACATTGAGGTCCAAAGGCTCCAAAATTAAACTTTGTTTGATTTCAACAACAATTGAATTCTTTGGATTCTTTGATATACTGAATCTAACTGTGTTATTTAGATTTTTTGATTTTGGGCAGGGTTTTCAAATTGGTCCACATTAAAGTCCAAAGGGTCCAAAATTCAACTTAGTTTGATCTTAACAAAAATTGAATTCAAGGTTTTTTTCCATATACTGAATCTATACATGTATTTATTTTTTTTTATTTTGGGCCCAGTTTTCAAGTTAATCCCAATCGGGTCCAAAATTAAACTTTGTTTGATTCAAGCAACAGATTAAATTTATGGGGTTATTTTATATGCTAAACCAAACTGTGCATTTAGATTTTGAATTTTGGGCCCCGTTATTAAATTGGTCCACATTGAGGTCCAAAGGGTTCAAAATTGAACTTTGTTTGATTTGATCAAAAGTTGAAATCTTGGGGTTCTTTGATATGCTGAATCTAACCGTGTATTTAGATTTTGGATATTACCATAATAGGTAAAATTTTAAAAAATTAAGTTCTTTGACCACATTCACTCTATATCTGTGTTAAAAACCTATGCTGTGTCAAATATTTAATCACAATCCAAATGCAGAGCTGTATCAAGCTTGAATGTAGTACTTAATATCTATACTTGCCCCAACTGTTCAGGGTTCGACCTCTGCGGTCGTATCAAGCTGCGTTCCGCAGAGCATTTGATTAAATGATATTCCTCTTCGAGTAACATTACACGGTGACCATACCTTTATTCTATTAACCCCAAAATCAACAGGATTACACAATTGTCACAGTTGTTTTTAAAGAGGCAATGCCTCTATAGCAAGATTACTCAACAAAAAGGCACGTGGACATCCACAAATATTCCCGTGCAATGCCTGAAAATGACAAACCTGCGCTAAAATATCTTCAGATAATACTTTTCGTTCATCAGTGAACGGAAAAATTGTTCTCTCTCCTTTTCACATGAAATTCCTTGAAGACCCAAGCCTCATATATTGGTAATATGAACAAAACCAAATGTGGTATTCAATATGTAGGGCAAACTGGAATTGATTTTTTTAAACGAACACAAAAAACATCTATAGCGCTTCCGCACACCTAAGAAATTTAAAAGTTTAATTTACCAGCATTTAGAAAAACACAAA